TTCGTCCGTACCTGGGCCGAGTAAACGTTGGACAATCCTCTTTGGAAGAATCGTCGACTTGTCAAAGGAACTCGTGACAGTAGACAGTGGTTGTAATTTGCGCACGCACGTGTGTAGGCGGGTGAAATATGCACGTGGAATTAATTGCAGGCTGATCCTGATAGATGCACGGGGGATAGATTTAATGGGGATGGGGGAGGGGGAGTGTGCAGGAACGTGTATAGGCTTATTCAGAATTAAAGGAGAAGACGTGATGGAAAACACCTTGGCGGGTGCGTTCTTAGAGTCTCCGTGAATTCTTCGAATCCGAAGATTTTTAGTTCGTAACGCGTGTATTTGTGCGGAATCGCGTTTACGGTGAGATTTTGGATCAGGTATTGATTTCGTCTATTCTGATATTGATTCTAGATTTAAATTTTTGTATGTCGTGTGCATTGTGTCACGTTTTCGCTTTCAAAATAAAGCTTCTCGTATTTCACCGACGTTCGATTCGAGAAATCTTTTCGTACGAAAGTTGACAATTCATGGTGCAAAACGTTAATCGAAATGTGTCACTGTTTGAAAATAAATAGAATCGGATGTGCACGTTCCATCAAGATCTTTGAACATTTCATAAATTATGAATTACGAAACGTGATTATTTTAAAGAAAAAAAAAGAAAAAAGAACCTAATGTGACTCAAGTTTCGTTAAACTTGGAGCAAATATAACAACTAAAACTGATCCTAAACTGACGCACACCTGCGTTGAAAATTAATTTTCAGCGAACTTAATCATGGAAGTTAATTTTTTATTTGTCGATATTGTTCCGATTTGTATCGAGAGCATTGGGATTCTGGTCAGAAGGGAGGATTTCCTTCTAGCGAGGTTAGACAAACGACGCGACGAAAGCGGAACAGAAAAAGACCAAAAAAAGAGCTCGGTGAAATTTAATTTCTCGAGAACATCCGGAACCCTGAACACGTACACGGTTCGAATGATATCGTAGACTTAGTACTGGATTTGTTACATTCTTCGTTTCACGCTGTTTACTGAGACCAAACGTGGCTGGTATTCGCGACTCGAATTGATCAACACAAATAGAAAATCTTTAATTTCTTTTTCAAACCGATGAGAACCTAAACATTTTGCGACCGCTTTCTCGAGATTACGCTATCGATCGTTGTACGAAAGTCGTTGACGACTATCACGTCACATTTTATCACGTACATTAATGATCAGTCCACCGTGCTCAATATTCGCGCTATATATTATGGAAGTCCAGGACAGGGGAACGAAAGAACTAAGAAAAGAAGATGAATGAAAATTTAACTGGACGTGTGAAATATTCACGACAAGAAAGTAAAAATACGAATGTAATGCCAAAAACGAATGACGTCCGACTGTAATTCATGAGAAATAACTTTCGTGAGTTCGAAGTGTCGATATCCAATTAAATTCTATTTTTAACGTCAGATGTTTTATCTCTGATTCATAGACACCCCATTGGCGAATTTGCGTAGAAAACAACGACACTTTTTGATCTGTATCGGTTTCCTTTTTTTCTTTTTTTTTTTTAGGGTGCTTTTCGTCAGAATTCTTGCGACTATCTAGTTTTCGGTTTTCTCAAAAATATTCCATCATTTACTTCTGTGTCTAAAATAAGTAGCTAGTTAAATATCACAAATTTGAGGTCACGGTAATGTTTCCAACAAAATCTTCATCTCGTTATTTCAAATTGAGTACATTTTAGTACAAATTACATCAAGAATTCATTAAAAAAAAAAGTTTTATCAAAAGCCAGTTCTTTTCAAATATTACCAATATTTGAACCAGTAAACTATCTTAAAATATCTCTCCATCTCTAGTTAGATCTTTCGTTGCCTATAAATACGGACAAACGAACATTTCTCTGATAGTTCAATGACTGGCTACATGCTTATTATGGAACATGCTCATCCGATGAACGAAATATCGACTTTTCCATTAATTTCTACGTTACTAAACCAATTTCATTCGCGGTTGAGACGACTTTCTAGGCGATGGCGAATCCCTACGGTCGATCTAATAGCTAAAGCACGTTGTAGATCAACGGGAACGAAGACAGTATCCTTGACAGTGGCTTGATCTGTGGCGGTGCCTCGTGCATTTACCCCAGAGTGCTTTCCATCAGTCCCCCAATTCCCATAAGGTCTCCGCTGTATGGTCTCCGATTCCGTGAAATGAACGATTCGCTCCAAATGCTTGCACGTCGAAGATATGGGTTTCTAAATAGCTACGCTGACAAGTTCGCTAACGGATAATAGACAAAACGTGCCAAGGATCACGAGTGGGAAATTGGTATGCTCGAAGCGTGTTACGACGTTCTGCGCCGGGAATTTCGCAACTTCTCGGGTATCGCTTATTGTCTTCAATCTTCCCAATTAATTGTTTGTTTAATTCGGGCTTCTACGTAATATCTTCAGTCCACTTTGAGTTTATTTTACTTGCTCTTGCGTGAGTGTTTTTGAATAAGTTACAAGTAGAATCTTTCGTTCAGTAACTTCACTTAACTGCGCTGCGCCAACAATAAGTTTCGTCCGAACATCTGTATATTCCTTAGTTTCAATATCGCCAGTTCACTGTAAACTTACTAGAGAGAAACGAATATTCATTTTCGAATAAATTCAAGTTCTTTTCACTCTTCTTTTCTGTTCTACAAGTTCTGATTATCAGGAGAGACGATGGTATTTTTCTCTTTTACTGCGAAATGAACACCATTTGAAGATAAATTTCAGTCATTCTACTCTATTATCGCGAATGGTTATTGTCGTTGCTGCTGTTAAAAGTAGCACAGCGACGTCTCGTTTCTAACGAAGACTGAAATTTGAAAGAGATGGCACTTTGAAAGCACACGCGGCATTGTAGAAAGAAGTTCCAACAGGGAGGAAGAGTTCCCATAGGGAGCGGGGAATTTCTGTTGGAAAGCGGAGCAGAAAGATCAGGAGGTTCGTTAAAAACAAAGCGACATGCAGGGAAATTTTATGTATCGCGCGATAACAGGAACGGTTCACGGCGCGCCAATATCTTCTTGTTGAGGGTGGCGTGTGTTTTTACGGCCGCTTTTTCTTTTTTTCTTTTTTCTTGCACGGTCGCACAAAAGTTACGCTGTCCCTCGAAAACCGAACGACAATGGCTGCTTGGATACCTGCCAGCCCCCGTATTTTTTTTCTTCGACTCTGTTATCGCCGATGAATATGCTTCCCCTCCCCTCCGCTGTTTCGCCGTGCAATTATAAAATTTCGCCGAAGCATCGAAAGAGCAACGCGATCACGAACGAAATCTCAGTTCCACCGTTGTGTCGTTGCGGATTTTAGAAGTTCAATTTCAAGATGATCTTCTTTCAAAGAAACCGCAGGAAAATAACATGAAGGTTGAAATTAGACGAATCGAATCGATTAATTTAGTTTGAAATGTAATGTAATTTGAAATAGTTGTTGATGGAGTTGATGATATCGGTGTTCCAATAAACTGATGAATAAAACATCCGATGACCAAAATGCGATGTAATCACTTTCGCAAGAATTTACTATTTATTTATTTACTTTTTTAATTAATTTGTTATAATAAATTTATTATAATTTAATATATTAAATTTATTATAATTTAATATATTAAATTTATTATAATTTAATATATTAAATTTATTATAATTTAATATATTAAATTTATTATAATTCAGTTTTTTATTTATTTAAGAAAGATGAACGTAAGACTTTGTAAATTACTCGGAATAAAAGGAGATTATTCAAATTGTCTAATTCTAATGTACATAAGTCTGAAAGTTAATCTGTCCGATAAGAAACACAGAAATCTATTTCGTAAAACATGTTCTCGAAGAATATAGTGATTATTAAATTTCATGTAACGTGTGTTAAACTCGCTTTATATGTCAGAACGACAGTTTGTCAAAATATGGATCCGACGATATCCTAAATAGAAGTGACAAAGAACAAACGAGACAGAAACAGAAGCGAGTAAGGGAAGGGAAATAATTATCGGCGAGGAGAGTAAGGTAAATCGCGAAAAGATCGCGAAATCGGTCGTCAAACGGCATTAACAACGCCGTGCCGCGTCCAATTAAAAGGATTACTAATTAAGCTTACTAATTAATAGCGCGCGAACCGACGTGATATTACGTTTTAATTACCGGGTATCATCTTTTTCAATCCGTGTCGTCGCGGTCGCACGAGGGTAACAGAATGAGAGAGATAGACAGAGAGAAAGAGAGAGAGAGAGAGGGAAAGAGGTTCAAAGAAAAAAAGCAAGACCGACCGACGACGTTCTTAAATCCAATTAATTTCTACGACTATTAATGAGCGGGCCGCTCGACCGTTACGGGGTCGATGTCCTCGATCCACGATCTCTCCACGACCTACGGCAACGACGCGGGAAGGTGATGCAAGATTATTGTGGATATTAAATTTCACTGTACCGGCCGGCTGTACGCCCGTGGCCGGATATTAAATTTTAGTCCCAGTAAGCAATGCCACCACCCGAGCATAATACTTCGTGCTAACCTCTACCCACGTGAAAATCTACCCCCGGAACCTCAGCCATCTCTGCATCTATCCTCCTCTACGTGGTTGTTTCCACGCCGGTACCACCACACGAACGTGGCGGCCGTATAATTCTTCTTGCCTCGTGCCTTTCGCCCACCTATTGGCCCTGTGTTGCTGCATCTGCGCCCGTGGAATGTCCCTTTGGGCTTTTATTGCCATCTCCCGCGCACACACAGTCGCCCGCTCGCTTTGCGGAATATTACATTTTGCCAGATAGGCGAAATTATCGATTATAGGATAGCGCGTCGCTTTTCGTATAGAATAACGGCGTGGCAGCCACTCGGATATTGGCTCTACCCACATATTCTTCCTCGGTTGTTAAAGAAGGATTTAGCTCAATTGTCGATTCGATCGATCAGACAGAGGTGAATTAACGTTAACACCGAGAGTGAAACTTTCGATTACAACGTGAGCCTCTTACCTCCTTGCAGCGAAGGATAAATGTAGAACGATGGCTCCTGCAGCCAGGACACTACGCGCACCAGATCTTTCACAAAGCTGGGAACCACGCATCGCAACACTGCCGTGCAGCCCCTCGATGCACCTCCGATCACCTCCACGTCGACTTTGTACGCCTGGGCTACCACTGTGAACAAATAAGCACAAAGTTGCTCGCATTACCATTACTAGACCTCGTTTTACGTTTGTTTCGCAGATTTTCGAAATTCCCATAAACGCGGTCCAACCATTATCATAACGCAAACTCGCATTATCTATACCGACGTTTCCTTCTAATTTTTACAATTTCCAACGAAACTATGAAACTATCTTATCGCTTGGCTTATTAACAATAATATAATAACAATACTGGATCGGACATAGGTGAATTCTAATTCAACAATTACATCTTCTTATAGTCACAAACGTGATTATTTTACGTGGTTATTTCTTTTAATATACTCTTGAAATAAAATAGTGTGGTGATAAATTAATCACGAAAGGACACAAACATGTAGCGTGACAAGGGAGACAGACTACGAGTGTAAAAAGAAATGTGAAACGTAGGATTATGTGTTGACCCGTGTTTCGTATTCGTACCTTACTAGATATATTCTGAAACAAAGTTCACAGTTACTGTTAAATTTTTAGTATTTGCACTAACAATTCGGGATACGAATAAGTAAATAATATTTCGATATACTTTCCGAGAAATGCACGCTGACGAAAAATTTCGCCGTTCTTAGCCGATTCAAAGTCCGCTCAGTAGCCAAGGGGTTAAATTAAAACTGTCGTATCGCTAGTATAAATATTTATTCATTCGAAAACATTCGATCCGGTGCAACGTCCACGCTGAAACGGTCAGAGAGAGAGATAGTTCGCGTGGATGGTAATTAAAACGCATTACACGCGATTCGAGGGCGCGTCACGCCACCCTTTACCCTCGTTCACTTGCGTAACCCTTCCATGTACTTGCGTGTCCGTGCACGGCCACGTGAGTAGATGTACACACGCGTATAGGCTTAGATACAGGGTGTCACGTCGTTACTCGTCGTCGACAACCGGGTGAATCTCGACGTCGACGTCGACGTCGACGTCAGGGAAGCGGCGAGGCGTGAGGCGACGCGAGCGTAACGAACGCCTCGTCCTCGACGTCTGCCGGTCGTTTTTCTCCTTTCCTTTTTTGTTCCTACCGTCGCCCAGCCGCTCGAGAGGCACTATACTCTTCCGGAGATTTTATTTACGTGGAAATTCCAAGGGCGGCGGCCAGCGACGCTGCAACCGGCTCTGACACGCCGACGTCGCGACGCCGACGAACACGCCGCTCGCCCCCTTTCTTTCTTTCTTTCTTATCTTTCGTTCCTGTATGTAACACGTTCCTGAATTTCTTCTTCTCGTCGCTGTTTCTTGTCGCTGCACACTCGCCCTCTGTCTTCGTCAACTCTTTCACTTTTTGTCACGCGTGGGACGAGTTCGAGCCAAGTTCAATCGCAAGTGAAAATATTGCAATGATTATATCCACGTTTCACGCGTGCCTGTATGTATTTATGCAAGCAGCAGACGAATGCAATTAAACGAACGTGGTTATTTACGCATGCAATGAATACGAGAGTTGCTTCTTTTCGGTTCTCACACGTCTGATCTGTCAGAGGCATTTGTACCGATCAATGAAATATGCCGCTGTTGTTACAATATTTGAAATTCGTTTGATTCAGTTGAAATGTTGTTATTGCAATATTTGAAAATCGCGCGTAGAAGAATAAAAATGGATATCCTTCGTCAAAATAAAATAATACCACATTGAACGTCGACCACTCGTTACATTCAGATACTCCCCAATAAGATGACGTTCAGTGTTATTAATTATTTCATTTGGCCAAGTTTAACCGCTTGCGCTGGCAACTGATTGCGGACCATAACGAGTGACCAAACCCGTATACAATAATTCGTCGCTTCCTTTTTCTTTTGAACTCGGCATGATATCACTAAATAGAAATTATTAAGAAATAATAAACTTATCATTTGTTTTGCCTATTTTGTTTTACTTAAATATATTTAAAACTGAGGAAACGTTGCAATTTTGGGGCAAAAAATTCTCGACGTGCGTGGCACGTCATTCCAGCGCAAGAAGTTAATCACTTGCGCTGGCAACTGATTGCGGACCATAACGAGTGACCAAACCCGTATACAATAATTCGTCGCTTTCTGTTTGAACTCGTCGGTATGATATCACTGGATAGAAATTATTCAGAAGTAATTTAACAAATTTATTATTTGTTTTGCCTGGGTTATACTTAAACATATTGAAAACTGAGAAAATTATTGCAATTTTGGGACAAAAAATTCTCGACGTGCGTGGCACGTCATTCCAGCGCAAGAGGTTAAATATACTTTTGCAAACAACAAGTAGAAGAAGAAAAATTTCTAATGTCTCACTGCAATCGCAAAATTGTACAAACGGAAAATAAATAAACATCAGATTACAATGCAGTTAATTATTCGCGAGATACTCGATCCCATCTCTAATTTTTGTCCCGTCTTCATCCCTTATGGCGTATTCTTGTTCGGTATTCCGTTCCCAAGAACATCCGTCACGTTGTACCGTGGCAATGATATCTCGGTTAATTTTTCCGAGAATTCCAATTCCCTCGTAACTCTTTCTCCTCTCTTCTTTATTTCTTTTTTTCCCCACCCTCCGGTGTCTTCGTGTCACCGCCTCGAATGTTTCACGCGGCTCGGACGAAAGTTAATAACACGTTGATCGAGCAGCGCACACGTCAAACCAACACGCGCCGATGGAAATTCTTCTGGAAATGAAAACACTTAAACGCGACGGGCGTCGAACGCGATCGTTGAAATTGGAATCTCGCTGTAACGATTCGAAAGATACGCTGGATTTCCAACAGAGAAAACCCGGTGTGCGGTTGTCGCGCGATTGAAGAGCGGAATTCTTTTTTCCCGGCTCGATCCGTTGTTCCCCGGTTGTTTCCGTGGAACGGTGGAAGGAAATACGAGCGAACATTCGGGTTCGCGTGAATAAATAGCAAGTTCGAGCCGATTGAATTTTCTATCGAGGGAAACTGAATAGTTTCGATTGGTTTTTTTTTTTATTTTTGAATAAAATTATTCGTTTAAATTATGCTTTAACGTTCGATTTTAAAATATGTTGCTTATATTTGGAATTCTCTTTCGACGATGCGGATCGTAAAGTGATTTATGAATCGTTCATAATTTTTGCTATTCGAGAAAGAAATCGAAATAAATGTATAGGTAATTTCGTGATCGTAAGATAGATGAAAAATTTGCCCATTCGTTATGCTATGATAATTTTATTGACAAAAGTAATTTTTGCTATTCAGAAAGAAATCGAAATAAATGTATAGGTAATTTCGTGATCGTAAGATAGATGAAAAATTTGTCCACTCGTTATATTGTGATAATTTTATTGATAAAAGTGTAAGTAATTAATGAGTCTACTTTATAGATTGACAAATTATCCGTATAATATAATGACAAAGATTAGAAGATTATTTTGAATAAATTGTATAATTATAAATTAAACTTATAAATCAATTATAATTATAAATAAATAAATAAATAATAAATTAATTATAAAATTAAATTATATAATTATCTTCAAAGATTGAAGATAATTTTGAATACTCTATATTAATAGTAAAATACAATACATTAAGACAAAAAAAGGAATATCTAATGTGTTAGTTCCCCTTCGTTTCTTGATTCTTGAATTGTTCCTTGCGTTAATTTTAAAATGTGCTCTTAATTGGAGATAATGGAAATGGTAATCCGGTACAGCAACAGTGGTGGAATTTCTCCGGCGAGAAATACGATAGATTGAACGATTAGTTCACTTAATAGCCTAGCCATAGTCAAACAGATTGCACCATTGTTGTTTATATTGGTCTTTCTGCCGGCCATTTGCATATTCAAATTGAGCAAACAGTCTTTGCGTTACACTCGTTTGTTCAAGACGTAGCATTTTGCCTAATGTGTGATACAAATATCAAGATCTCTTTAACACGATGTTAACATTTTTCATTCTAACTCATACCAAAGAGAAAGAAGAGAACATAAAGTTTCGCGTGTAAACAATTTATAGAAAAACGAGAAATCTGTTCGTTGGATATCATCGAAAAATAGAAATTTATGAGTCACAGAATCAATTCTCTGTCAAAGTTATAGAATTTCAAACTTCATGAACGGAAGACTTATGAACTTTTTGTTCGCAATAAAGATCTCAGAACTTCTCGAACTTGATAGTCGAATCTGATAGTCACGAAACTCGTTGAAGCAAACTCCGTGATCGTAAAATCACGATCGTTGATCACCGTGTGGTAGAATGTGCTTCGAATGTTAGAACTTGATATCGAACACTGATTCCTGCGTACGTGAGCTTAGACCTTGACTTCTCGAATCTGAGATTTCGTATCTTGATTCTCTCCCCGGGTCTCGGATGCTGAGAATTGTGGCTTCTCGTGTTCATGATCGATATCGATATATTTTGCTCTTTTGATGCTTCAGATCACTGTATCGTGATTGTTGCTGGTTTAAAATGTGCGAACTTCAAATTCTTGATTTTGAACTGATTTTTGGAATTAAAATTGGAAATTGCTACACGTTTAATGTTACTCTTGACTAACATTATGATTTTGGAGTTAGACTCTCGAGGGTTTGGATTACTATTGAACCATAAAATTCACGACTCCGCGTGTTTAACGTTTCTGTGATCAAGATATTTTCCGTCGCGTGATATCAGAATCGTTTTTTTATATTTGAAAATCATAGAATTGACAAGCTATCGATTTTAAAGACCAAATCTCACATTAATGACTGCCTCGCGAGGATAAACGTCAAAAAACCTCCATTCTCGAAATTCCACCCTGACTTTTCCCTCACTATCCGGACATCTGAAAGCCTAAGCAGCTTTAGTAACAAGTCTACCGGTAAATCCAGAACGAAACGCACGTCTTTCTTCCTTCGCACTTGTCTTTTTCTTCTCCTTAATTACGCAATGAGAACTTGTCCAATTGGTCAATGAAAACACGCATCGGCAGAAAACGTAGAAGCCTTTTTTTCATCACGTTACCACCGCCGGTTTTCAATCCGAGAGGAATTCTTTTCACATCCCGAGAAACGCTATCCACCCAAAGTGGAAGTGAAACAGTATCGACACAGCGTTCTCTCTGGCCGTTTCCAGATTTCCTTCGACTTCGGAACGACGCGCCACGACCGGCCGGGAAAACTTCCGGTTCGGACCAGTCGAGCCAGTTCGGGATAGAAATTTCTTTCGTTAAACCGAAAGCAGGAAGTAAAGTTTTAATTAACGGCCACACGTCCCGGCCAGAACTTTATAGCCGCGAGGGAGTAGTTGGCAATCCTGAAAGCGTCGGGTCGACCTCGCAGCTGCCACGGATTTGCATTCAGATTGCATTTTTTTCCCCCTCTTTCTCTCTTTTTCCTTTCCTTCTCTCTTTTCTTCTCTTTCTCTCTTTTTCTGTGTGTGTGTGTGTGTGTGTGTATCTCTCTCTCTCTTTTTTTTAAAGAGGTAATTACAGCGAGTTCCACACGGAGAAAGCCTGGCCGCGTCTCATCTGCATCCGGCCGGGTTTAAAACATCCTTCGTCTTCCCTTGGATTTCGCTTCTTCCTTCCTTCGAGAAACACCGCCGACACATCTCCTAATGATTTTTTAATTGCCTCTCCTATTCCTTCGAACGTCCCCGGACACGATTCGTGGCTCGTTTGCTTTCGTTTTGCTCTTTCGCTCCGCATAAATTGTCGCCGTTTCTTTAGATTTTTTTTCCTGCTAATGTTGAACGCCGTATTTCCAATAACTTAGCCGGTGTTTATTTTTTTAGAAAAAAAAATATTTGGGATTTGAGGATGCGTATTTGAAAAAGATTTTGAAAAAGAATGACAATAGATTACGATAGAAATGTACAATAGAAGGTGTTTTGTAATTGCTTAGTCTATGGTGTAAATTGTAGTTGCTTGTTCAGATTTACAATCGACGCATTTTATAAAATTTGCGCAGATTTTTTTATCTCGGCGAAGTAAAATATCTCGGTTCGGAGAATATATAAGGTAGGAAGAAAATGTTTCGTAAGAAGAGACCGTCAACGTCTTTAAGTAGGGTTTTAAAAAGGAAGAAAAGTTTAAAAAAAAAAAGAAGGAAATAGTGTAGAAAGTATAGAAAAAGCAAAAGAGAGAAGATCTCTTCGTACTTGCGCAAGCTGGTACATGTGTACTTCCGGCAAAGGCTGTGCAAAGGAGAAAGAAAGACTTTTCCAAGAAGAAGCAAGCAGGACAAAAGAGAGAAAAGTAATGTCAAAGATGTCTAAAGAAGTTGGAAGTTGGAAAGTTGAAGGGGAGAAACAAAAATCTTTTTATAAAATTGCGCTTCCAAGAATCTGACGTTAGCCGCATACTGAGGATAATTCAAGTAACATTTGACACGCTATACTTGTTTACGATTCAACTGGCTCACATTTAACGAGCTAATTTCTAAAGTCTGTCCGCGATTTGCTATTTCCGGTGTTTTTTGTAAAAAGCTGCGTCTTCTCCTTAATGTATTTCCACTAAATTAAATTTCGTCCGCTCTGTTGATGTTTGTGTTTGTAATTTAAAAAAACAGGATCGAGATAGAACTTTGTTTCGACATTCTCTACGTTCTCGCATTTTTAAATTTCTCGTAAACGTACAGAAACATTTACGCTGTAACTAAAATAAAAATATAATCAACGAATTGCTTTTGAATGTATCTCACATTTGATAAATGAATATTTATCGAATAGTATTGAATTAGTTGGATATAACGGAGCATTTATTGTAATATTTCACAGAGTTTAGACTCTACTTTCAATACTTAAAATGCGTAAGAACGCGCGATATTTATTCGTAGTATTGTTTTACTGAGAAATATACTTGTTTGTTCGTAAATCATTCCAATATACTTTCTACGTTTAATTTTCCTGTAATAAATAAATTTTATTTCCATCTTACCGTAATTAATACTTCCCCAAATCATTACACTGCTGCCTCCCATGGGTCGACGACTCGGAAATTGTTGCTCCTTTCATAAATCGTGACAGTAGCAGTGGAGGTTGCCAAGTTCGTCCAAATTGAACCTCTTTTCGGTGAAAGTATAATTCCTCGCCATTTCGTATTCGTATAACAAACGCGTTTCTTTGCAAACTGCAAACGGCACAGCTTATACTTTTGCTTTGATCAACGTTTCTCTTGCAATTTTCGTCGTTTCACATGTTCACGATTCTTTAAAAAAACGTCGAACGTTCCAAACATTTGTCGCAAGTCCAATTTCTTCTGCAATTTGTCTCGCAGCCATGCTTGAATTTGACGCACGTGTGCTGCTAGACACACTGCGGTCGTCCGTAACTTTTTCTTTTTTCATAATCATCTTAAGGAGTCTTTCAGTAAATTTATAATTATTTTACGATTTTTATCAACTGTCTCGGCCATTTTTGTGGCAGAATAATATTCCTCGTTTAACTTCAACGTTCGTGTGCATTTCAGCTGGATTCAACTTTTTGTCGCAATCGATTTTTACAAATGTTTAACACGCACTTAAATGATTGTATTTCACACGAATGTTACGCTCTCGACAGCTCTCGTACGACTGTGGAGCGTAAATATTCGACTTGTTTATTTACATTTTCGTTCTTGCAGCTCTGAGATATTTTGCTTCTCGGTAATAACATTCAATGTACCACACATCCATGAATATTACAAGAATACTGACGTAATGATCTACGCGTTCTCTTTACTTTGCGACAACACGTAATACAAAAATATATAAATAGAGTATCAGAGTGCAATAAACCTGGAATACAGTTCTACAGTTCTAATAAGTCTCATTGAAATCATCGACACAGATTTCTCCGACACTGTTCTCACCGACAATATTTCATCGACTGCAGATTTGTCCGACAGCGACTTTGCCCGACAATAGTTTTCATCGACAATGACATTGACCGACAGCAGCATTAGACAATTACGTATCGCCACAGACGTATTGCCTCAGTTTGTGTTCGACTATGGTCTTTGTTGCTTCTAGTATATCGAATAGAGTTATAACCATTCTTACTGCTAGTGAAAATAATTAATTAAAAATCGTAATCTCGACCATATCCAGAAAATGAACTAAAAAAGAGATAAAATATAACTAAATCTAACCTAAACTTTGCGTTATCATTAGAAAAGTGATGAACAAATATCATAATAATGTCAGTATCATTGTCGGTTAATACTGTCGTCGGCTAAAACTATTGTCGGAGAAATCTAATCTCCCTGATCGGTTCTAATCTCTCTGATCGGCGACTTTGCGGAAGAGAACCGCAACAGATCGAATTGCCCCTCTCGCTGCATGATTGCCAGTAATTGTCTTACCTGCCCTGACTTGGACGTCGCGGCTGAGCACCCTGCCGACGGAATTGCTGGCCACGCATCTATAGGCCGCGCTGTGCACATCCTGCCGGAACGCGGCCGCCGGAAATGGTAAAAGGACCAACGTGCCGTTCCTCAGCACCCTCCGCACCCCCGGTACGTCGTTCACCGGATGTCCGTCCGCGGTCGACCAATCGATGTTGGGCGGAGGGCTTCCTGTCGCGGTGCAGTCCAGCCAGGCGCCGCTCGAATTCGAAAATTCCACCCTCGACGGCGGCTCCATCACGAAGCTTGGACCGCGCAAATGCGCGTCGAAACCGTGGCCACCCGCGGACCTCACCGCCGCCGCTGCACCTGCGAAACAAAACGAAACGGAAAACCGTTCAACGCATCCGAAAATTCGCATAAATCTGCCGGGGCTGATTGTGGAAAAAGCGGCGCCGCTCCCGCCGAATCGTTGACCGCGCGTACCCGACACGCGACAGTTTAATTGCCGCGTAAATCCCATCGTTCCACCATTTTTGCATATTTCCCGCCTCGCACCCTCCGCCCCCAACCACGCTGCTAATAAAACGCTTCGCGCGCCGCGCTTGTTCGCTCGTTTGGTCTACAGGCCAGTCCCTTTCTTCGCGCTGATATTTTTATTTTTCTTTTTTTTTCTTTTTTTTGGAGAGGGGGGAGGTGGTAGACTCCCGTCCACGCCGTAAATCGATTGTAAATCTTCGCTTCGACGTGAGTTTGTTTTTCAGCGAGAGCTGGCTGCGGATGTTCGCGCGGAAAATTTTAACGGCAGAACGCGCAGAGATGTGCGAAACAATTGAAAGCTCGTGTTCGTGTTGGTGGAATTGCGTTTAAAAACATCTATTGCGTAAATCTATTAGCGCGTGCATGCAATTTATCACGTTTGAATCATGTTCGCGACATAATTTTAATAATAAAAAGAGATAGTAATAATTTTAGTAATAGATATTTTCTGTAATAGAAAGTTAATCGCGATCCGATCGAAGGCAAGGCAAGTCAAGTAAATGATCGTTACTTTTGCTGTTGTTGTAAACGTTCTTAAGTTCAATATTGAAAACGACGAAAGAATTGCAAGTGAAGCTTTTAAATCGAAATATTGTTCCACGTGGAATTCCAGGTTCACTATACAGTTAAAAACTGTAGTTATAAACTGTAATTACAAACCGTGACGTACGGCTCGATGGTTTATGAAGGTTTTCGTACAAGTTTTTCTCTTGCCGCGCGAGGATCGTTGCATGTGTGTTATATCGAAACTGGAATATAATAGCTCTACAAATGAACATTTCGTTCGTTCCAGTTGCAATATTGAAGCACATATTTATTAATTTTTCTCGATGTAGTATTCGAATTATTTGTATTGATTTCGAAACAGGTTCTGGATGAAACAGCAGAAGCGTTAAAATTTCACGACTGATTTTTATAAGAGATCTTCGAATTTTCAAAATTGAAAGTATTAAAAGGATAAGAACGATTTCTTCCATATTTCTTTATCGATAAAGAAAATTACATCATATAAAGGAATTTCATATACGAGAATCTCTTGTCACTTGAAATTTTCGATTAGCTGCTGCCTAATTTTATACAAGAAATTCAGAGTGAAAACGACTTTCAAACGTTACAAATTCTTCCATCAATTAACCATGAATTCCAGTGGTCACTATTTTTTTTTTAGAAATTCAAAGCGAGGAATAATCGTGAACGACATTATTCGCGGAACGTTTGGATATTACAAGCGTTCGTTAAAGGGCTATTCTGGTAATCCGGCTGAAAAAAATCGATTTTTCTTTACATTTTTCCAAAATACATGCTTTCGAGAATGCCCCTGTAAAAGGATTTGTTTGAATTCGTAAAATTAGCAAAGTGATAGATGTTTAAAGGAAACGGTGTACTGCTCGCAACGTAAGTACGAATATTTTTGTACAACGAGTAACAAAAACTTCAAGAACTGTGTTTTTCTCAAAAAATATTTTGTTTTATAATAGTATTATTTATGTTTGTATTATTATTATTTTATAATATTTCATTTTTCGCACTGCTCGATTGATTGTAAGTATGAATATTTTTGTACAACGACTAATAGAAACTTTAAACGTGTTTCTCTGAAATCCATACTTTTTGAACTGGCTGACGGAATATCTCACGTTTTACTTGACCGATTAGCTTGAAATTTGGAGGACATCTTCACCGGATATACCTTTATCGCATGAACCACGGATTTCAAAATCTGACGTCTTTTTCTATTTTTGTTTACCACCCAAAGGACGAAAAGCACAAGGAAAATCGATATTTGAACTTCAAAATGCTGCCATTTCTTTAATTTTCGAAACTTCGTTGTTTCAGTGGTTCATGCTATAGCCACATTTATGCTAATTAAGATGCTTTCTGGTTTTTTCGTTTCAAATAGCCAGATGGACCAGAATCGTGTCAGGAATCCATTCGACCATCCGTTTTTAAACACATGCTTTACCCAAGGCTATACAATTTCCACAACTTCCACTAATTTCGTTAAAAAAAAAAATTGTAAATACTCTTCAAGTACGAATAAATCTATGTGCGAAAACTGTATGCCAAAATCAATCATGGTTTCCTTAGAAAAAAATCCCAGAGAAGCCGGATTGCCAGAATATCCCCTTAATTTTTCACGGAGAAAAGAACTTTTCGCGGGAAAGGGGAAAGAGGGAGGAACCGGAGGAACAGGCGTGCGTTGTCTGCAGGTTACTCTCACGGTTCAGAATTGATTAAACGCTCTGGTTATCGCGATCGTCGAACGAACGATGGCCAGCAGGTTATCCGGGTAAGTTATCCTACTCGAAGTGTATCAGACGCGCGGTGCTTCGACATAATGCTTTGATCGGGGGCGCGAAAACACGAGTCAGCAAGTACTCGGGGCTCTTGCATCGTTAGAAGCCACTTGAGGCTAATAACTCTGGCCAGGCCGTTCCCGCAACTCGAGAGTGCAGTTTAATTGTCGACGGTATTCGTACGCTGCTGAAAGAAACTACGAGTGCAGTTCAATTTCACCGAGGCCGGGATAGCTAATATCTTCATTTCTCCTACTCCGTCGTGTGTTCGAAACGATCCGAAAGTTGCGAGCAACCACGCTCCACCGATAACGGAGAGCATTCGGACGTCACGGCGTGTCTGGCTGGATCGATCTAGGTTTACCTTCGGTAAAGATAGCGGAGCATTTTCCGTTTCTGTACACACTGACAATTAACTCTGACTATTTAACGATTCACGATTCAATCTCGTTTTAGCAATGACCGAGAGAAAGACTTGTTTCGGCGGCTTTCGAAGCACCGTGTATGTGAAACAATTTGAAGCAAGTCGTACACGTACACTCTCGCGCGTATTTCTTTTTGAGGGAAATTTTTCAAACACAGCGAAAACCAATCTAGCACGATCGAAACTCATCTGAAACGGGCGATATATGTGTTTTAAAAATAACTTGAAAAAACGATCTAAACTGTGAGTTTGATTAAAATGATTTGATTTGATAAACAGTTTGGAAACGAAAGTTTAATAAGCTCTTGAAATTTAGAACCGTTTAAATCGGACAAATATTTTCATTGGAAGTTTAAAATGGCTTAACGAGACGCATGTTTGTGAGAAACGAATTACTCAGTGTATCTACTATTCAAAGAATTAAAAGTTTAATAATTATATCGTTGAATTATTGTATATATTTTGATCATTTTTAAACAGTCTTTTAACCTTTGGATGTGATTCAAATTGACTGAATTTTCAGGATGGCAATCAAAGGCTCGAAGGATCGACACGTCGAACCGTTGTTATTCGAAAACGAAGATAAATTGCATAGTCACACACATACACACACAGTCATACACACACGCGCGCACAGAAAGGGAGGGAATTACTTTACGCGAGACTTCGCAAAAATCTGCGCAGAGAGGCAGGTTACGTTTATCCAAGAACCGATTTCCCCGGTTCACGATGGGGCGCGCTGATGGACGAGGATACGACGATAACGACGATCAAAAGGAACCTCGTGCCATATCCGGAGCGGAATTTTCCCGTTGGCACGAGTTTAACGAAGATCACGATTTCATCGCGGCCACGTAGAAAGCGCGCACGTTCTAAAATTTGCGTATCGATCGCTGGCACGCTGGCCGTGTGGTCGTGTGTTAATTAAAAATTCATTTATCTTAAATTCAATTTCCTCTGACTACGAGCCAGTCGTGCTTGCGCTCTCTCTCACACACACACACACACACATACACAGAGTACGCGCATCGTCTGAAAAAAAAAAAAAAGAAAAAAGAAAGAAAGGGAAACGTCTAAAAAATTTATAACTACGCGCAGCGTGCGAGCGGAGGAAAGAGGAGCGGAAGGAACGAGCAACAGGAGCAACAAACAAAACAGAAAGGGGAACGCTAAGGATAATGCAGAATTAATTCGTCTAATAAAGGTGTAATTTTCGAAGCGAAAGAGCATGCCCCGCTGTTGAAAAAGGAGCACCGCTGCCGGCTGTTCGTACACGAAAACCAGGAGAGATGGAACGATATTGCATATCTCTCTGGCGTCGTGTCCGTGAAGAGTGAAGAGCCGCCCGGTTGGGCGAAACGTGGAACTCATAACGACGTCCGAGGGAAACGCGGGGCCGTAACTCGTTTATAACGAGTCGTTCGAGAGGAGAACGAGCGATACAGACAATAACGGCGAGAAAGATAGGAAATTACGGCATAAAAAGAGAGAAAGAGAGGAGGTGAGGAGGGAGGGAAAGTCGAGTCGCGACCGAATTTCGTAATACCGGTTGCAGGATGGTACGCGCGTCGCGTACAAAACACAAAGTATGCAAATCCCGGGTGCCGCGCGGCCGAATTGAAATCCCCGTAGTGTCCGGCAATTACAGACCGTCACGGTGACTCGCTTCCGGAATTGTCTCGAGCACTTAATTACTAATTCCAGCCAAGTATTTCGTTGGCCGGCAGCTTCGCGTTGAATTACACGCATGCCACCTTACCCTTCCCCCGTACGGGGTTCGTTCGTTTTCCCCGCGTACATATATACACGCGCGAGCGTCGCGATTAACGTGGACATCTCGACTTTGATGGACGTGAACGTCGGGCGAAATTGTTCCATTCCCCGTGGCGAAATTTCTCGAAATTACGTGCTGCGTTTTCCTTCCTTTCCTTTTTCTTTCTTCCTTTCCTTTTGTTTTTCACTGCTGTTGTCCTTCTCTACGAGATTTCGTTGTCAACGCTGGGGATACGATGTCGTACCAATTTTGGCGACAGACAAATTTCAAAAGGAACGATTGTTAGCTCGCTTTTCCTATGATGACCATTTATTTTATTATAGGCGAA